ATATTCCATGGCATACCATGCCATAGAAAATAGAGTGACCAACATACAACATACGCGCGGCGCATGATGGAAATATTGGGTGTAACACCATAGAATATACAACGGCTTTTCTGTATTCTGATTGGCTCTATTTTCTGTGGTATAGTATAAATGGTGGTAACCTCAGCTTTAACGTTCTCTCAAGGTTTAATCATATTGTTATTCTTGAATTTTGATTTCATCGGCGCAATTGTAAATAACAATAGACGTTTCAGCCAAGAAAGATCAAGAAATAGGTTACGTTCTTGAGATACCGATACAACAAAACGAGTAACAGAAACAATATTAGTGGTGTTTCCTGTCTTCATTAAATTCTGGGGTTTCCCTGGCAGATGAAAATAACGCGTTTCTAACCAAGAGCTGCAAACTTTTTTGATAGCTGGAAAGTGGACTGAAATTTAAATTAATATCAGAGAAGTCGCTGAAAATTTAGCTGATATCTGATATTCTAGCATCCCCACCCAGATCCTACTCATTTTTCCTTTCATTCTTTTTGTATCGAGTCATGTGTAACATTTGAAAATTGATTTCTCCAGACTTTGGCTGGGTTCGTTGGCACACGGCGTTTGAAATGCCAGTGGCGAGGTCTGGGTTCCAGTACATGTTCATCTATTTCAAAGGTCCTAAACCAACAGTTGACATTGAACTGGATGATTTCTATCTTGGAGAAGTCCTACAAAGACCTGACTGGAAAGAGACCACTGATGTACTTATCAATAAGTACAGAAAAAGAAATGTGCGATTAAGGTTTGAGTGAATGTTACATTAATTGGGTTTGATCAAGAGAAGATGAAGCGTAAAAGAGTTAAAGGTGAAGGTTACTCGAAAGAAACGTATATTTTTTGTCATCGCTAATAAAAACCTCGCACTAAGTTTAGCCACTCACCGAAGATTCAGCCTCTAAAGTGCAGGTTTTCCTTATGAAATTTGTCTCCAAAGAAGCCCAAAATTAGACATCGTTGCCGCCATTGCGAACAGTACTCAGCAGCCAGGCGGCTTTTACGTGACGTCATTCCGTCCAAAAGATTTTGTCCAAATATAGCTTCCGACAAGCCTTTAAACTACCACTCTGGGTTGTGGGTGTTCTTGAGCTCTGTTATTTTGAGCCAAACATGGTCCAAACTCCGAAAATGATAGCAGTGATAATAGTAAAGTGGATAATCCCTCGGAAAAATACTTTTGCTTACCTTGAGAAGAATGCAAAGTCAGTTGCCGGATTTTCTCCTTCCCGCCAATTTCGAGTCGGACGGAATGACGTCACATAAACACGGTTTGGCTGCCAAGTACAGTTTAGAAATGGCGGCCTCCCAAGTCGAATTTTGGGCTTCTTTCGAGACAAATTTCTTCAAGATAGCAGGCACTTTAGAGGCTGAAATTTCGGTGAGTGGAAAAACTAAATGTTTACTTGCTATAGGTGACCTTCCCCTTTAACTAATACTCCGTAAAAGAGTCATCCCTCTCAAGTTATTTATAAATATCTTATCCAGTCCTTCCGCTGCCAGTGTTATATACACGCACTTTCTGTTTTCTGAGAGGCTGAAAATGCGTGTAAATCCGCTTGGGCTGTCCATGTGAGCAAATTCTTCTTCACAGGATTGGCTATTTCTAGACAATAATCGTAAAATTTTGATTTGATGTTACGCAAGGGCGCGCAATGACAGGCAAGCCGTTGTACAGTATTTTTTGGTGACACACCTTCGCATTCTTAGCTTTAGTTTACAAAAGAAATACAACAGACCTGCTTAGTCTGATGAAACACATAAAAAAACAAGTTTACATCCACACTCAATTAAAGAATTAGAATTTTGGAAGCGCATAGGAAACATTTGAGATTTATAAGTAGAGACTGCGATGTTATATTCAAATGGCTGAGTTTTACTGAGGAACCAAGTATCGACCAATTGAAGTTACTAAGTGCACTCTTTGAAATATTTTACGTTGAGCTTAACGTTTTGCTTTTGTATGTCCAGAGTGAACATGAAAGGCTCGCGGTACACAGAGGATATTCTGGCCGATTTAAAAATGACAGTAAGTGATACAAACGTTGCGGTTGTATAGTTGTTATATTTTTGTTGTTACACCTTCCAACTCAAATACGTTTTCCGATTGGAGGAGAGCGTGTTACGTGTCGTGGGTCAAAACTCACTAACTCCCTAGGGAAAAAACAGCTTGAACTTCAGGTCGTGCTCATTGAAACCGCGGCAAATTTGTGAGCCAGCCGGTGTCAAGCAAACGATTTCTTCGCAGTTTTTTTTTATTTTTGGAGTTGAGGATCTCGGGGAAACAAAACTTACTGTTTCCCTTAAGGCCAGTCATTAAGTGCGTATTGTTTTATTAACCGAGTAGAGCAGCATACCTCAGATCATTATATATTCCTAAAAATGGCCTTTAGTTTCTCTGCTCAGTAAGCTGCTTGCGTCAAAAGTAATCACGACAGAAATGTCGAGAATTGGGTGTCTTTAAAATAAAATGTTACTTTATCACTATTTTTACTCACTTACAAAAAAGCTTGTCGTGGCACATTGTTTCAATGTCTGTCAGCAAACGTAAGTATTCACAGTACAGTTGTTTTGCGTTTCCCTCCGAATACAAAGATTTAAATTGATTAATCAAATTGCCTTCATGTGACTGGCCGCGTGACCTAATGGATAAGGCGTCCGACTTCGAATCGGAAGATTGAGGGTTCGAGTCCCTTCGTGGTCGTTTGTTTCGCTTTTTTTCGTCATTAATCAAACCAAATGCTCAGCAGGAAAAGATTTTCAGAGACTTTTGGAGGAACTT